GTCAGTGTCACTTTGTTGGAAGGTGTAACCTAAGTTACTCCAGTATAAAACCCATCTTGATGTCTCCTATATGTGCAAATGACTTTTATTTGCATTGTCTTTTATTTCTCTTTCCTGTCAATTGAATTACATTTCCATCATGAGCCAATTCTAGACTTCCAAAAATTCTATACCACATACTGTCCTGTGGTTATTTAGTTGCTAGGCAACTAGACTCTGCTTGAGGGCAGAAGGGAATAGAAAAAGTTCATTGCGAAGTTGTCCACCCCTGCTGGGTTCATCAGAACAGCAGCAGGGGATCCTATATCTTCCTTCTTCTTGAATTATAAATCAGGTTCTTCCACGTGTCTCCATGTAAAACAGTGGGGCTTAGAACATGTATGAAAGCCATAAAACCCTCAAGGATCCTGATGCTGTCCCCTGGATAAAGAGACAACTTTAGTTTTAGTAATTATAGTTTCAGAATAAGTCTAATGTAAAGTTTATCCTTTGGGTTCATTGCATTCATATGTTGCAATTTTGTGGCAGGTAGTATGTTAAAGAAAGCATACAAAATCTTTGCCTGAAAATATTCATGTGTATTTTAATGGAACTAGTCTCACATACTGTTATACAATTTATTTTATAGTTAGCATCATGTCATGCAAATTTTCCATGTTAGATAGATAGATGATAGAAAGATAGATAGATAGATAGATAGATAGATAGATAGATAGATAATAGATAGATAGATGATAGATAGAAATAGCTTTAAGATTCCAGTGACTTACTAATTTTGCAGTGTATGAATTTGTCACATTTTTTCTAAAAGCACCCATTTTCTAATACTGTCAACATTACTACATTGATCCTATGTAGTTCTTATTTTTTGTTGCAATTATCGATTATCAAAATTGTTATTCTATTCTCCAATACGCACACTTTTCTTTCTTTTTCTTATTGATTACTAACGTTGGCATGTCCATCATGTTCCTGATTTTAATAGGCATGATTTTAGCATTACTTTTAAAGTTTATTTATTTATTTTATTATTTTTTTTTAATTTTTTTTTCAACGTTTATTTATTTTTGGAACAGAGAGAGACAGAGCATGAACGGGGGAGGGGCAGAGAGAGAGGGAGACACAGAATCGGAAGCAGGCTCCAGGCTATGAGCCATCAGCCCAGAGCCCGACGCGGGCCTCGAACTCACGGACCGAGAGATCGTGACCTGGCTGAAGTCGGACGCTTAACCGACTGCGCCACCCAGGCGCCCCTTATTTATTTATTTTGAGAGAGACAGAAAGAGTGTGAGTGGGGGAGGGACAGAGAAAGAGGGAGAATCTCAAGCACGCTTCATGCCATCAGCAGAGAGTCCATGTGGGGCTCGAATGCACAAAACCATGAGATCATGACCTGAGATGGAGCAAGAGTCCAATGCTTAACCGACTGAGCCACCCTGGTACCCCTAGCATACTAGTTTTAAAAAGAGGTTTTGATTTAATTTCTGATAAAATATCTTCACCATGCTTAAGAAGTTTCTTTTGATTCCCTTTTTATTTTTTATTTTTATTTTTTGAAATTCAAGAGCTTTTCTATATCTAGGTATGATCACATTTACTTTTTCTTTTTCCCTTCTATTTTGTAAGTAGCCTCCTTTATCTTCTTAAATAAGAATGCATTTAACTTCGGGGCACCTAGGTGGCTCATTCGGTTAAGCGTCAGACTTCGGCTCAGGTCATGATCTCACAGTTTGTGGATTCGAGCCCCGTGTTGGGCTCTGGGCTGATAGCTCAGA